GGAAATATTAAGTCGTAACTTTACTTTGAAAAACTTAAAAAATAAAAACATTTATAAAAAAAATATTGTTTGTTTGAATTCTTAAAAATGTGAGATTTTTTTTTTTGTCAAATAATGATAAAGTAGGATGCAGAAGTCATGGAAGATAATTTAATGCCCTACCAAAAAAGCAGGAACTTAAGAATCATGTCTAACATGTTTCATGGTGATCACCACTTTATAAATACCTAACAGCTCCTTCTCAACTATCACATCTCACCTTACTTCAATCCATTTCCCTACTCACCCTTCTTCTCCATCCTCTTTTCATCCACTACTATTCCAACCACCATGGCCGAAGAGAAGCACCACCACCACCTCTTCCACCACCACAAGGACCAGGAGACTAAGCCCATAGAAACTGAGACTGGTTACGACAACCCATCGTACGAGTCTTCTGGTGCTGCTCAATATGAAACTGGCTTCAACAAAACATCATTTTCTAGTGACGACCCTTCTGGTGAAGGCTACGAAGGGCGCAGAAAGACAGGTTATTCTGCCATTGATGAGTCTTCAGGTGGCTATGGCACTGGTGGTGGATACTCTGACACCACCGATGCTGGCTACACCAAAACAAGTGCTGGTGGTGGATTCGGCGTTGGTGGTGTGTACGCTGACACCGATGACGGTGGCTACGGCAAGAAAAGTGGTGGCGGTGGCTACAAGGATGATAGCGACGAACGTTACGATGAGGTTGACTACAAGAAGGAGGAGAAGCACCACAAACATCTTGAGCACCTCGGTGAGTTAGGTGCTGCAGCAGCTGGTGCTTACGCCTTGGTAATAATTCTTAACCATTCTTATTTGCTTTATAGTACATAATACATGCATATTGTTGTTCACTTGAAAAAGAGTTGCTAATTAACGTACATATAATGTTTTCTTTTGTTTGATCTGATTTTCTTGATCTTTGTTTGTTATTTCTTGATCTGATTTTCACCTTGAAAAGGAAAGTTAAATGATAATTGGAGTTTGATATGTACATATAAATATAGCATGAGAAGCACAAGGCGGAGAAAGACCCAGAGCATGCACACAAGCACAAGATAGGAGAGGAGGTTGCAGCAGTTGCAGCAGTGGGAGCTGGTGGATTTGCCTTTCATGAGCATCATGAGAAAAAGGAAGCAAAGGAAGAGGAAAAGGAAGCAAAGGAAGAGAAGCGTCACCACCACCTCTTCTAAACATTTATGATTATGCAACCAATAAGAGCATATATATGCTTCTGGCTTTACTTATGTTTGTGTGTTCTTAAGTTATATATCTTCCACTTTATATTGGGAGTGAATGCTTTGTGTGAACAATATTTCCTTCCTGTGTATGTAGTAACACTTGAGTACATATGTATAATCATAACATATATTGTGAAATCGTTTCAGATCCATACGTGACTTTTTCTTTTTAAAAGTATACGATATATGTTCCACACAATATATATGCTAGAAGACAATCATTAGTTACCTTAAAATTTATATAACTTTATTTGTAAATTAAGAATATACATACATATATATTACGTGGATATATATATTATTGAAAGAAATATAAGAAGAAATGAACAATAGAAATTGTTATTAATTATGATCTGGTTTTTTCTTTTACTTTGTATATAGAAGATGTGCAATCTCTGTATTAAATTCGAAGGGGTAACTGTGAGTGAATGGTTACCGACAGAAGTAGGATAGAAATAAACCATTTTTTTCTTTTATTTTTTGCAAAATTATGATGGGCATTAGTTAAGAATGCAATCTCACTGAAAAAATCACAGTCACATGGTGCAAATATCAACGTTGCCAAAATTCAACGAGGTTTGAATTAAAGTGGGAAGAGGGCAACAAATGGGCCCGCATGATTAAATAACGATCCCAAAGGTATTTGTTTTTATGTTCGATTATGTTGAAAGTTTAATAAGTTTTGAAAATAAAAAAATATATGAGAATATCAATAATACTTAACAAAAACACATTACACCTATCTAACTTATTTTTTTATGGCACAAAACAAACTCTCACAACACCACATATATCTCGTAATTTTCTCTTTTCCTAAAACCACCCTCACGGGTACATTAATCAAACTTCTTAAACAATTTCATATGAAAAAAAAATTAACTTATTTCATAAATTAAACTTAATTCATGCATAAATAATTATTAAAAATATTTACATATCCATTGTTCCATCAACTCAACTTAATCTAAAATCAAATTAATGGTTTGGTTCGAGTTATTAAATCAAACCAACTTGAAAATTTGATAAATATGTACACTTTAAATTTGTCATCATTTAGTTCCAACTTTATTCGATGAATCCAATCATACATTTGATTCCATTCACCTTTTGAGTGTATATTATTCAGGGAGAAAAAAAAGTGGACATCCAACTACATTTTAACATACTTTCATCACAAGTTACAAAATAATAAACAGCAAAGCGATTTGTTTGTTTTGAAAAAACCAAAATTGTTTTTAAATTAATTCTTTTTAGTCTATCCAATTGTTACACCCAATCTCTTATATCTTCTTTCCCTACTTCTATCAAATAATAAGTTATTAAGTTGCTTCATTGTAGAATACCTTTTCTTTAGAAGAAAAATATATTATTAGAGGCGCAAAATGGGAAGCAAGGAAAATTTGGGGGTGCAGGAAGAAGCCCCCTTAACTTAAATAGTGTGTACTATGCTCACTGACCTTACACTCGGCCCACACTACTTTATTTAGTCTACCCAATTGTTACAAAGAATCCCTTGGATCTTCTTTCCCACTGCGATCCAATAATAAGTTTAAGTTGCTTCATTATAAAATATATTTTCTTTAGAAGAAATATGTGTCATTTTGTTATATTTATATGTTACACAAATACCACAATATTAATAATTATTACCATCATAGAATAAATTAACTACACCACATATTATGTTTAGAGATTTTTATAGTGATGAATCTTTTAATCCATGGTGATGAATTTTTATAGATTAAGATATATTTTCCTATAAAAAAACTCTCAAGATATGTATAATGATAAAGAAATCATATTTTAAACTTGTTTTTACTACATAATTAACATTTACTATGAGATCTATAAAAAACATTTAAAATCTCAAGCTGAAATCTATTAGTAAAGTAAATATTGAATGAGATGTTAACAGATCTTATATTCTACATAAAATACTTGCTAAAAAATAGTATAAGATTAAAATAAGATATTTTACTGATGACACTATTCTCTTCAATTACCGTTGAGCTTAAGGATTTAGATAGTGTTAAATTTAATTTTTCTTAAAAATTGAGTCTAATTTAAATTGGAATTTTATTGGTTATTGTTGAACTTAATATAATACATTGAATTTGTTGGTTTTCAAATTTATAACTTATGATACTTTTATGTTAAATTTAAATTTAGATTTTATAAGCTTATATGCGTCATTTTTGTCAGAGCGGCTACAGCAGAATGATTAAGGTGGAATAACAAATCAAGAGGGATTTTAATACGGACGTGTGTCTTTTAATTTCTACTCAATTAAACTTACCAAACAAATAATAATATCAAATAAAGAGAGTAAGGTTGAGAGAAATTTACACAAACGATTTTGTACTGGTTCACATCTTACCAATCCTACATTCAGTCGCTTATTTCAAAACAAGATAAACAGTTCACTACTCACAAAACAGTTACAAATTACAATCACAAAGAAATACTTTCTAAAAGTTTAGAAACCACCTCTCTTGTTACTCCCAAGAGATGAAAGTCACTTCCCCTGTAACACACAAAGGATGAACACCTCCTCTGAATCTTCATAAAGGATGAACACCTCCTCTGAATGCTTCACAAAGGATGATAGGCTTTTAACTCAGCAACAACAACAACACTCAATCACACTCCTTGTGAAAGTTCTCGCTCTATGCTAACACGCCAAGTTCTCAAAGCCACAGCACAAGGGTTCAACAAACCCTAGAACACTTATCACCGCACTATAGATAAGATTTTGTGAAATACACTTATTTCGTATTTTAGAATGAGAGTCCCAATTTGATTTATAGAGATGTCACTCAAAGATACCTCCACTGTTAACTAATTAATATGTGATAATCAATATATCGTAAGTCATAATTGATTACTCATAATCGATTATTATAAATTGATAATTAATTATCTTGAGTATAAAATGAGGTTTTCTGATTCAAAAATAAATTTTAATCCAACCTAAGACAAACAATACATAGAATCAAATATAAACCACATACATAAATCTACTAAATTACAAAAACTTTAATATAAAAACAAGTTTTCATGAAGATCTTCCTGTAATAAGAACACTGGAAACTTAACTTTGAGACATCATAAAAACATTTATGCTAACCATTTTTTTTAATACTGTTTTGTATGTATTATACTAACATATTAAAAAATTAAAATAATACTACTTTATTGAAGTCCGATTAAATTCCAACCAAAATTAATCCAACGATCATTGAATAAAAAATAACAATACTTTAATACAGTTATTTATTTTTCTACTAAAATGACACAATTTGAGTTCTAATAATAGTTTTATTCAACCAATCATATTATATTACAGTGTCAAGATACGTACTCTTCAATAAAACCATTTTTTTTTTTATCGAACTACCTTTGTTGATTACATGATTAATTGATTGGAAAGTGACGGAGAAGTAATCAAATCCCTCTACCATTCCCTATCTTATGAACACATACTAACAAAAGTAACCAAATCCATTTGGGATACGAGGTTTCATATAACACTGCATAACAATATTTATAGGACATGTTTTCTACTGCTTTCATGTTACAGTAAAGCGTCCAAAAGAAACAGTGTAGATTCCATCGAAGGCATAAAAAATAGTGATACTGACAGTAAAGCAAACTTACCAACATTATAGTAGCTTTGCCCATACATACTATATAGTGAAGAAATGAATATGTGCTTTACTTGCACAGTTTTTGTTTTTGGAGACACCAAACTGTACTTGGATACTTGGACATCGTCTCTATTCAAGGAAATACAAAAAGAGAAGACCTTTCAATTTCACAAGGTTCCGTTAGTTTGAGCAAAGAAGTAAGGATCATGGAGGTTGAGTTGGGGCTGAAGATCACAAGAACCAAAGACGATAACACTTCCGTTTCTGATTTTCAGTTTGCCAAAGACAGATCTGGACCTGTCTTCTTTTCCAAAGAAACTGATTCAAAGCTCATCCTCACTGCACATCTTAAAGGTTTCTTCAATCTCGAGTCTCGTAGGGTTGTGTTAATCTGTATTAATTAATATTGTTATATATGGTCATGTGGAAGTGCAGGGTATAAGAAAGAGGACATTGACATCAATATCAGTAAAGATGGGAGTGAGATTTCGGTGAGTGGGGAGAAGGAGGTGCAGGAAATGCAAATGATACCGTTCAAGAAAGAGGTGAAAACCAAAGGGTTTGCGAAGAAGTTTAGAATTCCTGATAGGGTGGTTTTGGATCGGATCAAGGCTAAGTATAGCGAAGTGGATGCAGTGTTGACAATTGTGATGCCAAAAATGGAATTGGGAAAAGGAGTGACAGAAATTGAGGAGGTGCAGGAAAGAGAAGAGGTGGATAGCGTGACGGCAGAGCCAGAAAAGATTGAAGAAGAAACAGCTCCAGTGAAGAAGCCCGAAAAACCATGGACTCCTTGTCCTCCTTTCTATTTTGGAGGATCAACTTTGCTTCTAACTCTTCTATTTCTTGTAATGCACTATATTAGAGCCAGAAAGAGTTAATCTTTTTCTTGTAATGCAGAAGAAAGAGTTCGTTTAAGTTTATTCAGGGATTATTTATTTCAATTTTTCAGTGTCTCCACCTATAAAGTATTATTTTCTGTATCTACATATGGTCCGATGAATCGTAGTTATGAGATTCTCGCATTGTTACTTTGATTATCCATAATTGAAAAGTTAATGAAGTAAAACTGTTGGGCTGTCCAATAAAACGATCCTACCAAAAAAAATGAAGCAAGTTTAGATGAATGATGGAGTGAAATCCCGGTGGATAAATAAAATTAGTAAAATAGATAATAATACTCGGATTAGCTCGTGAATTATAATTCCTTAAATATCTTATCCAGTCAAAAACAAAGTTTTAATATTTATAAATTTTGCATAAATATTTTAAATTTTAAATTTTATTTTTGGGATGATATTTTTTGTTAAAATTTAATAGTAAATTATAAAAAAATATAATTGAAACGTCTTAATTATTAGAATAATTCCATGAAAAGAAAATATCACAAATTTAGTCATTCAAAATAGATTCAATTTTTGTTGATCCTAGGTTTAGCCGAGACCTAACCAAGTTCAAAGACAGCTTTAAAATCTTCCAAGAAACCATTTCTTAGATATTTAACTTGTCTCAGATCTTGTGTTTGTTAGTCTCTTCTCGTTACAATAAACTTCCAACCAAATTTTAATTATTAGAGGTGGTGAAGTATAAAATTAAAGTAGACTATATTGAAGATAAATACCATTTTAGACTTTCTTCCAAAGTAGGGGGAAGGAATCTGAGGGACTGTAATACCAAAACAGACAAAAAGTATTTAACTATTTTGTATTTAGAATTTTTTAACTTTACATTTTGTTCTTTCGAGTTTATATGTAAGAATATTGTCAGATATTTTCTTCTTATTTCATATAATTTTACTCTCGCGTATCATTCAAAATTTTCTTCTTATTTTTTTTAAGTTAATATTTTCTGAAGGTGTCTTCAATGAAATCCCTGATTGAATTCTCGGTATCTTTTTAATGGAATGAAACTGGTTCTGATTTTGTAAAAAAGGTAACTAAATAAAATAGTTTAACTGAAGTGCATTCACCGTATATTTTTTTAGAGCAGCATAATCAAATATTTTCTCAAGTTCATTTAACTTCTATAATATTCAATTTGAAAGATATGGATATAATAATTTATTTCTTATTAAAAATGTATATTATGCTCACAAAGCAAGGAAATTAAATTGTAAATAACATGAATGGTTAAAATATTCTTTCCCACCATGGGTTGCATATATCTGAGTACTAAGTATAATAGGCCCAAAACTTGACCCAGTACACCATTACATATTACATATTGGTGATTGCTTCCTATACCCTATCAAATTTCTCATCCACCCATCAAAAAGCTTTTCAGCAGTGATAGGGTGCTGGAAGAAATCTTATAGGGTACAGGAAGTAATAGCCTTAAATGTTAGCTGCCAATTTGAGAAAACCGACCACTATATGAAACTTCTAATTATGAACACGAACCCAGTTTTGTTTGGGAATCTTATCTCGTTGAAATTAACGTTATTTTATTCCCCAGTTTCACGGGAAGTTTGTTTATGAAAGAAATTGATTGATTTTCTTTTTATATTTATGAAAGATAAGAATAAATGGTATTTGAATTTACATATACTTTCAACTCATGAAGAATTTACTATTTTTCCACATCCAAACGCTACATTTTAGAGTCACGTGATCCTGTTATAGGTGATTTAATATCATAAAAAAAAAGTAAAATACAAAGTGTGAAGTAAAATACATGACACTAACATTAGTTAATTTTAAGGTAACATGGTTGAAACAATTCCTCAAAGAGTGTAAATTTAAATAAAGTTTTCGAATAAATTTTGTATGTGACCACGAGACAACACTGCATATTATCTCTAATTTTATATTTTATGAAAGGACTAAATATATTAAGGATATTTGTCATTCATAAAACAAAAAACCAGAGTATTAAGATATCACCACTAAATTTGTCAATTGGATGAACAATTGACAGACGTATTCACTAAATCGATTGATAATCAATTATATATGCAACAAGTTGGACTCATTATTATGACAGGATATCAAATCTCTTCTTCTATGTACTATATTGATTCATCTTTTTCCATTATAAATAAAACATTTTTATTGTTTCATTAATACAAATTTCAGTTTAATGTTTCTCTTTTTCCTCAAGTTTAACAATTTAAAATATACTTTTAAGATTATTTCAGAAGTATTCATGGTATATCTCGAATTTGTACAGCCACCCGTTTTTGTTTTTTCTAATTTCATGTTCGAGATATCTAATTCTTAATACGAGTCATTTTAAAAATTTCACAGATTAAATTATACTATATAAATAAATATAAATTTCATCTTTGATTTTACAGAATTGAGTCATATCTAAACTTCACTTTCTGAATTAGTATACAAATCATACAAAGCTTATCTTATATTAACCGTGTCTCATGTTTTGATGTTATAATAATATTATGAGATGATATTATGTTTAAATAATATTAATGAGTTTACTTGAGTACAATGATGACACCTATATCTTCAAATCAACATTTTTATTAAACCAAAAGGTAATCCGATTCTAACATTTTAGGTTACTACTATTTTATGTTATGCTGTTTTCACGTTAAAATAGAGATTATGGTATAAGTAGTTCTAGAAAAATGAAAACTAAATTAACTTTTATGAATATGTTTAATATAGTATATTCTTACTTTAATTTTAATTTTTTTATGTATTAATTATTAATGGTTAATAAATCTGAAATAGAAAAAAGAGAGATTTTTGGAATTAAGGTACAAAAAATAATTGGTGATGAGTAGTTCTTTTTTGACAACTCGTTGAGTAGACTAATTCATCAATTGTCCAACTACCATGTGCCTGACAAGCTCTTAGGTTAGGTAGACACAAAGCTATCTTCTAAAGCAGACGTTATCACTTAATTGCATGCTACTACATCAACTTGCTAGAAATAAAAGGGCATACCTTCAACTTTAGTCATTCTATGGTATCTCATAAATTTGTTCTTTTATCTAAGACTGCATAACATAATCAAAAGCAAACCATTTTCCTTGATGTATTCATATTGCATTGAGCTGGAAAGAGAATAGTTTGCTTCTGAAGCAAAAACCATACATTCTTCTAAACGTAGGCACAAGTTGCAGACATAGCATGTGCATACAGATAGATTAAGATATACAAGTAGAAATCATCATGAAGACACTTAAAAGGCATAAAAATAGATTGTAATTATTTAACAGTTGAATGCCCCAACTGTTGAAATATATTACTTCGATGACACTTAAGAGATATAAAAATAGATTGTAATAATTCACATAACATGAGAAACAAAATTGATGTTCAAATGGAATAATAACAACAACGTATTGTAGCATTGCCTTACCCGCTGAATCAAAACTACGATATTTTCCAGCAGAAAAGGAGGGAGAAGCTATCAGAAAACCTTTCAAACACTTCCAAGTTCCAGCACAAATGTTACATCCACAGCCAATTCCTGATGACTTTAAAGAGATGTCATAAAGTATACATTGACCAGAGCTACTGTCACTGGCTCGAAATTCAATTCCGGATGGCAGTAACCAAGTCAAAGTCCACCAAATTCAACAGACAAATAAATCAGACACAGATAACAGATTATATTTGTGAGATTTCCAATTCAATATGTGATCTTACAGTGAATGGCTTAAGGGTGACACAGTGGTCTGATTTCAATTGACCAACCCAAATGATATTGCAAAATCTTTGAGGCCGTATTTTCCTAACACATGTCAATAGAGCAGAAAAAAAAAGTAGTTGACCAACATCAATGCCATTCCAAATTCAAGCCCACAAATGATAATGGAACAAAAAACAGACTTAAGCATATGAACGACATTGTCTTTTTCTACGTTTAGTACTTTACAGTTTAAAGGAAATTAAACAATCCCAAGACTGCAAAGGAAATAAAGATTGTAACATAATTTGGTCTTCCAAACCAAACAGAGATGTTAGTATATGAACCAAAGGGATTTGACTAATAAAATCACGGTGAAGCAAGTTACAGCGAAATTTGATCAGAAAAAAGCAACGTTACATGACAAAAACAAGAGGAGAGGAAAAAAAAGCATAGATCACAATGATCTACTTCAATATCCTACATTCTATACATTTTATATGATTTTTAAGTACAAGAATCCTTCCCCTTGCCATTTCCTTGCGGGTATAATCTTCATATCAAATTACCAGACTTTAATTTTCCACTTTTTATATCCATTGGTAATTGGCTTCTTCATTTAGTAGTATTCTATTTCCATAGAAGCAAAATTAAGTTATCACATAATCTCAACTTGTATTTCATTACAGCACCCACAAATAATGATGCGGGTAACAAATTATTCAGCACAGGTTGGCCTACCAAGAGAGTCAATCCCTTCTGTTCGACTGCGAACAATCTTATGGAAAACCTGCCTTACTTGGCGCTCCAAAGGGTCCAGCCCGTCTTTCAAAGCATCACAAACTTGTGAAACCTCCTGCACTATCTGTCTAACCTCCCGCTCTTTGTCCTCTGTCAACGGGAAGTACACAGAATCAGACAATTCATTCATCGATCTAGCACATTTCTCAATCTGATGAATCTCCCTGAGCAAGCCACAGGAATTCTTGCGTTCCCTCTTCTTTGATTCCTCCATGATCCTTTCGTGGAGAGAGAGTAATGCAGCAGCCCAAGAGAAATTCCTGGGAATGGTAAAGTGGACATGTAATCCGCGGTCCTGGCACGGAATTGCTGCCACAAGAGCCCACATAACAAACAACAGGATCGAATTCATGATGAACAACGTCATTGCAATTCCATTAGAAGCCACAAGATCATTTGCCTTAGGTGGATTAATGCTGCTCCCAATTGCTTGGAGCTGCTTGGCAGCAGACCAAGTCCGAGAAACACTCCATGAAAGCGATCGAAAATGCCCTAAAGACCGATGATGATAGCCACTACCGCTACTGTGACTGTGACCATGACTATGGCTGTGATGATGATCTTTATAACCAGTGTTGCGGCCAAAGGACC